AACGCGAAACTCGAAACATGCATAGTGTGTATACAGTGCCGGCGCTAGGGGAGGACAAATGGGACATTTGTCCAGGGCCCCGCGCTTGTTAAAGGGCCCCGTGATTTTTAATTATCATCATAATACGAATACCGTGGTCTACCGTCGTATATTGCATTAATCTGCCTGCAGCGGTCGCGTACTTAGATATTAAACAATTTATTATTTTATTCAAACATTTTGATGAATTAATTTATTTTTAATTGATGATTTTATGTAGTTGTTAAAATAAATGTAAATTAATAAAATAACCAGCCCTTATGAATTTATTAGCCTACGATTTTCCACTCAAAGGTTTAACTGAAACTCACGCTACGCCACTAATTCTGTGCTGAGCGAGGTTTCATCAGGAGGAATCGCACTCGAATATTATGTTGTCTCCATTTACACATATAGGTAAGGTAAAGTGGGGTAAGTGTGACGCAAAAATGAAAAGTTAATTTTGAATTTGACAATACTTTTTTTTTAACTTAAAGTTGTTATTGTTCCATAATGTAACACATCTAGATATACATAATTGGAATTTATAGTCAACAAAGTTATATTATCACTCACCTAAGAATAATTTTTTTTTTTTTTTTAATTTTAAAACGTCACACTTGCCCCTTTTCATGGGGCAAGTGCAAAATCGGATTGTTTTTGCTATTAGTATTACATAAAATTATATATGGGGCAAGTGAATAACAAAGATAATAATAAGCTTTAATTTGATTTTTGTTTCATTAAAATATCTTGATTCATTAAGAATTGACAGAGCATTATTTAAATTTGATTATTTACCTATATTATATATAAAAATAGTACTTTTTTTAAAATCCTGATTTAAAAAAAAGCTAAAATTTTACTACTCTCTGAGAACCTAAAGGCTATTACCTATGACCAGGGCCCCGCAATACCTAGCGCCGGCACTGTGTGTATACCTTTCTACGAAACACTATGAAACGCGAAACGCAAAACGCGAAACGCGAAACATGCATAGTGTGGAGCGACCTTTAGAGTAGGTATATAGGGAGGGCACTTAGGCTATCGCTATTTGGCTATATAATAATTAATATAATATAGTTAATACTTAATATTTATTACTTATTGGGTAGGTATACATAAATACATATTGCATAAAATAATGGACAAAAAACCAGACAATTTAATGTTGACTTTTCAATAAAAATAAACACATTGATTAAAATAATAATAAACATTTCAATTTCCAAATATTTTTATTTGTTTAGTATCTCAGACTCTACAGACATTCTCGTTATTAGTTTGATGATATCAATGGTATCTATTATATAATTATTTTGATCCAGGTTGAGGTATGCAAGAGTTAAAATAGGTACAAAAAACTAAATTCGTTATCTAATAAATGGCACAAATTGTAAAATCAATACTTTATAATATTCGACAAGAATTTGTTATATTTTAAGTATTTTTAACCATATAACTAGATTAGACGAATGAAAATTACCACAATATATATTAAATATTTTATTTGTTGTTATTTATAGATATGAAAAATATTTCAATCGCCAAATTACAAGATCTTCACTGGAGTCTTTGTAATAGTATAAAAATAGTCAATGATAAATTTGGCTGGCAATTATTTCTGCAGCTGTTTTGCAGTTGCGTGCAGCTAATTGTGACCCCGTATTTTATAATCATAAATTTATTTTACCCTGTGATTTATGGTTCTACAGATATTAAATTCATTCTGATCCAAGTTCTCTGGGTGCTGACCCACTTGAGTCATTTATTATTAATCGTATTACCCACATCGTATGCTACTACAAAAGTTAATAATAAATACCTACTAAATTGTTTGTAAATTATTATAGTGAGTTATGTATTACACAGGGTGAAAAAACTGCTGTGATCATATGTAAATATCTAACTATTGATATAGAACCAGGTGATATGAAACAGGTATTTATTAAAAAACTATTGATAATACAAATTATAATTAATTGTGGTAATATTATAGTTGTAAAAAGTATTAATGGTTATGGTAGGTATTCTGTGTTAAAAGCTGAAAATATAAGTTAACTTCTCTTTTGTTATATTTAAATTTATTTAATCCTATATTAAATCCTGTGTGTATATCACAATACGTATTCTGAATATTATTCAGTTGTTCAGTTTAGAGTGTTTAGACATTAAATTTTAACTTCTGCTTTTTGTATCGAGACGCTCTTAAAACTTTCTTGGACACCGTGTTGTGGTACCACAACGGTTTTCCAGGTTTTTCCAGGTCTGTATCTGAATCATCGGTGTCATACATTGAACCTAAGAATACAACCAAATTTAGTTAGTAATAATAATAAAAAATCAGAAAACTAACTTTTCTCTGAGTCATCAACTCTAATATACTTGTATTTTGTTCTTATTTCTGTATTTCTGTACCTATAAGTAAAAAAAACTCCAAATAATAAGTAGTAAGGTTATATAAACCAATATGACGAACACGTATACAAAACTCGTTTCTATAAAAAACATAAAAAATATTTATGTATACATTACACATTTATAATTCATAAAATAGTATACATAATATATCACATAATAAATATCCTTTAAATGATAAAAAAAGATGATATCATTTTATTGCCTTGATTAAATAATATCCTTTTTAATTTAATATTGAATTAATTTTTTTTTTTAGATTCTTAGTATCTATAGTATATATTGAGAACATACAAATTTCATGAGGCTTAGAATTATTGAGCCACTTGTAAAATAAAATAATTAGTTAAAATGTTATGAAGTTAAAATATTTATAGGAAAACATAGTATTTTTAAGAAGATAAATAAATATTAAAACTGTATATTTAAATTTAACACATTTAAATTCATCATCAGCTCCAAATAAATATCTGTGCAAATTGTGCATCCAAACTGCACCACTAAGACATAGTGTTTCAGAAATTCCGTCCCCTATATAAAATATTAATATCAATAAAAATAAAAATAATAATTCAAAATATACTTAAAAATATTCTAGTAGTTTGGGCTGTATGCACATGTGAACACAAAAAATGGCATGTCCTGTTATTATTTAAACGCAATCTAATTTGATTATTACATTAATATTAAGAAAACGCCATATACCCTTACGTGCTGTCTCTGTCTGACAAACGCGTATATAGCAAATTGTACTTTCTGAATAATCCATTTATCTAAGGTATGTATAATATAAGAGCGAACCTACCTATTATCAAATTATTTAAAAGTAAGAATATTATCGAGTGAACCTCGTTGGTTTTTTTCTTTAGATTTTAATTTTAAAGCAAGCTATGATGGTTTTAAAATACTCATAACTTGTTTTCAAGAGAGGAGAGTAATTAGAGGACTGATTGGAGAATTGAGGTTAGTGATAAAGTTAGATAATAGGACGGAAAAATTATCTGTGGAAGAATTTTGAGTTCGGGTGGCTTCAGCGTATGATTTTGGTCTGGAGTGAGGGTTTAGCGCCGGAACTTTAGTTGGAGAAGCATTGAGGAGTCTTGAGTTTTTTTTTTAGCACTTTTGAGAACTGGGCAGCCCCTGAAGTTGGCGGTGTGGTCCCCGGAGCACAGGGCACATTTAGCCGGACTATTCCGATCTTTGGAACACTCATTGGTGTGATGATTTGCTCCGCATTTAACGCAGCCCGCGAAGTGGTGACAATAATTTTCCGTGTGGCAGTATGATTGGCATTTATGGCACTGAGGAGGACCGCGGTTCTTTTTGTGTGGTTTTTCTATAGTGACTTTGGTATTAAGTAAAGACGAAATTTTAGTGATATCCACATTTTTTGGATCTTGCAGGGAAACTTCTATAAAAAAAATAGAGGTAAGGAAGCGTTTGTTTTTATCTAAAATGTTTTGAACATGTACGACAGAATGTCCCAATTCAGATAGAGCAGAAACAATATCGGTTTCAGTGGTAGTGAAGTGTAAATTTCTGATAACAAACCTGACTGGGCGAAATTGACGAGGTTTGAATGTGTGGAATTTGGCGTCGGTGTCATTTAAATGTTTCACAATTATGTTAAAATTTGACATACCCGAGGGCTGAACAATAAGATATGATGTTGACGATTTGCAAGTGAATCCATTCGGACCGATAAGAGGTTTTCGAATGATGAATAATTTGAAATATCTTTGATATAAATTGGTGGTGCTGGAGAATCTTCCCGCTGATCGGGAATGTGAGAGCTGCCATGACTATATATGGAAATATTAGATGGCGTAGTAGTTTCGATTTCGTCGGAGTCGAAAACGGCGTATCTGTTTGGTGTGATGAAAAATTTTGATTTTTTATCGCCAAGGGTAGGTGATAAAGACGAATTGGACAGATTGCGTTTTGAATGTTTTGAGTTGGTAGGATTATGTGGCGAAACGGGACACGTACTCGGATCTGGATTTTTCACAAAGACGTAATTATCGCCGACCCTAGCCAAACGAGTCAACTGGCTCATTTGTCTCATTTGTAGGTCTACGATAACTACCGATTGTTAACAATAAAATCGTTTAACGAGCGTACGACGGAGATAACAGAACGAACACAGTGCGAGGTACGTGCGTTCATGTTGAGCGCTGCGGCCGAACTGAAAAAACAAAAAAAAAAATACAAGTTAATAATATAAGACATAGGCAATATTAATTACTCTATAGTATATAATATAATTTATAATAATTTATATTATATTTTAGTTATAAATAATAAAAAACTTAAAAAGATAATAAAAGTAAATTAATTAATATAGTTTACTAATAATTAGTTAATATTAACTAATTTATGGATCCGTATTCCGTAGTTATGTAATAATCCATATATTCCATAAAACAAATTCTGATGGTATCTTGAGCATTTTGATAAAAATGCAAAATTATGAAGCGTCCCTTGCGTTCCCCTTAAAAATAATGGTGAATGATGGACGTTTTCCCCCGACTGTTTTTGGTGTAGTGGGAAATCCCCCCCATATATTTTTGATGTGGACATTTCCCCCCCATTTTTTTTAAAGTAAATTATTGACTAATAATATATTTAATAAATATATATATATATATATATTAATATATTTAATAAAATATAAAATATATAAAACTTTTTATTTTCATAAACATAATAGATTATAAATGTATATGTTTAATCAACTGAACTACTTACTTCAAACAATAAAAATTTAAAAAAAAAGTAGCTATAAAGTAAAATATAATTAATAATTAACAAAAATGATTAAAATGTCCGACATAAAAATTATATATTTTGTAAGAAACATTTAAATTCTGATTCTTTTGTTATTTCTTAACTTATATTTTTTAGTCTTTGTTCAAATTTATTTATTTTTTTAGATTCTGAGTGAAACGATGAATGTATTGATTTTACAATGATGTGTGTTTTTTTATTTTTTTTTTTATTTTTTTTTTTATTTTTTTATTTTTGCGTCTGTCATCACGTTTTAGGACAGTAAAAGTGCTTGGATTTTCTTCATCAGTAGCTTTTCTGATAGGAAAGTGAATCTAGTTGGTACTTTGGGGGGTCAAAAGTATAAATTTCCCAGTAGTTTTCACAAGCGCCGGGAAAAACAACATAAAAATTAAGGAAAAACGGGAATTTTTACGCAAAATTGGTTTTCCAAAAAATCGATTTTGGTTTTTGGTGTAACTCTGAAACAAATGAACGTATATACATGAAATTTTCACTGGTTGTTTATATTTGCATTTTCTATACACGATAACATTTTCAAAATATTTGGATTTATTTTGAACTGTTTAGGGACATTTTCATTTTAGGTTTTTTTTTAGTTTTTTTTTCTAAAAATAGCAATAAAATTTTATTTGTTGGTTGCAAAAGCTTGAAAATTTAATAGAAGGCTCCTAATTTATTGTTTCAAAGGCAGATGAAAAATATTAAAAATCCTTAGTCACAATTTTTTTTTATAAGCATTTAAAGTTCAAAAATTGACAAAATATGGAAAAATCACGAAAATTAGCAAATTATTTTGAGTTAAGAATTCGTAAAAATTTTTCTTTATAAATCTAAGATTTGAAAATTAAACACAAGATTCCTTATAAGATTATCTACCTTTATCAAAAAAAAAATGTCTATAAGAAAGTCAAATTAAATTTTTATGACCGTTTGAAATTCAAATTTTTACAACATTGAATATTCACTCGATTTCCCATGTAGCGATTTCCTTATTTTGATGTAATTCAAAAACAAATAACTGTAGATACATGAAAATTTCACTGAATGTTTATATTGGCAATTTTGAAAATATTTTGACTCTTTTTGAGCTGTTTATGGACATTTACAGCTTTCAATTTTTTTTAGTTTTTTTTTCTATAAATATCAATAAAGTTTTATCTGTTGGGCCAAAAAGTGGAAAAATTTAATACAAGGCTCCTGATATATTGTTACAATAGCAGTTGAAAAATATTAAAAATACATAGGCACAGTTTTTTTTTATAAGCATTTAAAGATCAAATTTTGACAAAATTTATCAAAATCTCGAAAATTATCAATCATTGTAATTAATAAATTATAAAATGTTCAGTTTTTATAGCTAAGGATTGCAAATTTTAAACAAAGGTTCTCATAAATAGTTCATATTGTAACCAAAAAATCTAAAAAATATATGAACACAGTTATTTTTTATAGACATTTTAAATTCAAATTTGGACGAAATTACATATTAAAAAACCTAGTTATTTTGTTGTGATTATATAATATTATTCATAAACTTCTAAAGTGTACTATAGTGTATTATATATATATATATCTATGATAGTATCAGGGTTTGTTATTGATGTTGATGTATATTGTTTTATAAGTACCTAATGGATATTGTGATAATGTGATATGATTAATTTGGAATTTATTATAGGTCAATTTTTTTTTTAATACCATAGATATGTATATAATTTGTCTTAAACCTAGACTGACATACCGTCTTCGCTCAGAATCGTTTTTCTTATACAATGATATTGTATCATTGGATTCAAATTTAATAGCATCCATTATACAGTGACCCACTTGTAACCTACTGTACAGCAGAGCGACATCCACTTACCCACCTTTATTATTTTGTGTCTTTAGTCACTAAAAGGTATAATAAAGGTATAAAAATGCTTCAGTTTTTTTTTGTTAAAACAGTACCAATTTGATTATTTAACAATTTAATAATTGCTTGTGAAATTGACTCATGTAGTTCAGTTGATCAAAAATATACATCTATAATTTATTATATTTATGAAAATATTTGATAAATAGGCATAAATTAATTTCATATTAAATAATAATATTATATTATTAAATTAACGGTTAAAATAGTTGTTAGTCATGTCAAATGTCAATAGAAAGTCTGAAAGTGTCTTTACTGGGTGGCTTCTTCCAACAATGTGTTATTCCAATGTCACTGTAATTTAGCCCATATTCTTATTGTGCCTCAGGGTACAGATTGTATATTTCTTATAAAAATAATTTAAAAAAAAATATTAATAAATAGTCAACTTTAAAAAAAGATGGGGGGAAAATGTCCTCCCTCCAACTCGAGCACTACTTATCATGGTCCACTGTATAGTGCGCTGATTTTTATGCAATTCCATATTTTTTCCTTTTCACATTTTTCATATTTTTATCAGTAGGTAATATTTATTAATTATAATAGTTTGAAGCTAATAGAGATTTTTTGTTCGCATTATACTGCATATTTAATGGTATTATTACATATTTAAATATTTCTGTATATTTTGATAAAATTAAAAATGCATATCAAAGCAAAAAATGTATAAAATAATATTTTTTCAAGCATAAAATTGAATTATACATTTTGTAGACACTAATACACTATAGTAGTATTATAGTATTATTATTATGTTTTTTTTAACAAAACGCTTAAACGGCGATGGTTATTACTTTATTATTAGCGTACAGTTTATAGTACCTATTATGAGTTCACTTCTCTTTTGTTACATTGAAATTTATTTAATCCTGTATAATATTATAAATGTGTGATTAATAATTTCGATAGTACCTACCTATACACTAGTCCGGATTAAGACAATTCTGGGCCTTGGGCCAAACAATTTTACGGGCCCATAAACATAATAAAGATATTAGTACCTATAGCCCAAACCCACAAACAAATATAATACATTTCAGAGATAAAAAAAAATTAAACTTAAATAATTTTTAAATACCCCTGTAGTGGTGTTTGTCCATCCGTTAGTTACCAGTACATAATATACGAATATAGTTACGATTGTTGATAATTATAGGTACCTATTTACTTATTATCTGTATTTACTGTACAATGTACATATATGATATTATATAGAACTAGAATGTATTGTATTAAAATAAGTTTAGAAACCGGGAATTTAACACGCACTCACTCTTCTTTCCTAACTTGTTTGATATTATTATACTATATAAAACGTACTATAGCGCCAGGGGCCCACTATTGTTGGATATCTGTAATGGGACCAGTGTTCGGAAAATTCACTAAAAAAATGAACTCGTTCACGTTCACGTTCCTGTTTTTTTTCAAACGAACGTGTTCACGTTCACGTTCTTTTAAAAAACGTACACGTTTATTGATTCGTTCATTATTTTTTTTTTATGAATAGTTAGCCCGCCAGTCAATATAAAAATTAAAAACCCATAAACACATATTCTCAACCAAAAAATAAAAATACAATTTAGACTTTAGAGCATATTATACAATTTATAATGTATCTGAATTAATTTTTAATATCTGACACGTTATTTGAGTTACATTTTGATAATTATTTCCTAGTGATAAAATTAAGTTATATACTAGATTGCTTATTATGATAAGCCGATTAGGTTAATTACAAATTCATGGAAATCGTAATATTATTTTTGTAGTATGTCTAGCCGGGGACACTGGAATTTCACGTATTTAATTTATATATTTTGCAATCGAACAAATATTATAAGAATTATAATGGGGAAAATAAAAATATTATTATTATATTATAATTAATTAATATATTTTATACATATAACATTTATTAAATGGTAAATAAGTCGAACGTCTTAAAAATCGATCAAATTCATTAAAAATATAATGGTCGTTCACGTTAACGTTCTATTTTCAAAAAAAAAAACGAGTGACATTCATGAACGACGTTCTTTCCAAACACTGAGTGCGACCACATACATGCCCCCCCTGGCCACACTATAATCTGGGCCTGGTAGGTAGTACCTCACACAATTATTACAATAATTTTAATGTAATTTGTTTTAAATATTACGATAAATTTCCAAAATTGTAAATCTATATGCAATAATAAATAATAATTTTCAAATATTATCAGTGGGATAAACGTGTAGTTATTAGTCATATAAGTATAATTATAGATATAATTTATTATATTATATAGATTTATTTTATATTTTTCAGTTGGAGATATTCGTTCTTCAATTGCAAAAGTATGCAATCGATTTTTCAGCTTGCGGAATTGTAAATTTACATCGATCCACCATTACAACGGTAAAATTACCAATACATTTTTATGCCATATTTAGGTTTATTTTATAAAGAACTGTTAACTGTTTGTAGACTTATAATTGTCTAATTTTAATTGTGAAATGAATAATTCATACATGACTTTTTATGGACATCCAATTTTTAGATTTTGATCTTTCTCAAAAAAATTATAGTCGAAGATGTCAAAGATTGTATACATTGGGAGATTTTTTCATAGTTATCCAAACAAAATTATTTAGGCATTATATTAATATAATCTTACTTTTAACTATATTATATTTATATGAACGATACTCAATTTTACATTTTATTTTACCAATAATTTTAACTCTTAAAGGATATTGTTGAGTATCTCTTCGATATTTCTCATATTATTTTAACATTTATATTGCGTGTATATTATGTAAATGTAAAATGTCCTCATTACAATAACACTTTTTATTCTATATCGTAGGTACCATATGTATTATTACTAAGACCAGTGGCGTACACACTTTGAGAGGAGGGTTTGGGTGGTAAAACCCCGCCCCATTGTTATTTTTTTATGTGTATATATAGACTTATAAAAATTAATAAAATAAAAATAATATTTTGGTTTTTATATAGGTACCTAAGTTTTTTAATGTGATCCCTCCCATTGAATATCGAAAATATCTGTGGACGCTACTAAGACTATATATATATTTGAATGTTATAATAATACAAATTTCAGATTATCGGAACCGCGCTGACGTATTTGGTGATCTTAATTCAATTCCAAAACTCCGACTAGAAAAATCAATGGCAATATAGGTAATATAATATTATACGACGACAAGAATACACGATGTCAATAATTGTCAATTCACCACGATCGGATATAAGCATATAAGCATATAAGCATATTATAACCATGATAATATATAGGCTATATATAGTCTTATAGGTACCTAGCTATATAACTGTACATTGTATAAGTGTAGTGTATACCTAAGTGTAATATAAAATTGCGTAGGTATAATTTGTGTTTGCCGTATAGATTACATAGTGTCGCGTTCATACACCATATTATAATGTATACCTACCTATAAAAAACAATTCATACTAATGTACTAATATGTATAGTAACGTTACACTATTATCGTGTCACTCGTATACTTATAATAAATTATTATGTTTCCCGTTTATGTTTCACGCATATTTTATTGTAGCCAGTAACAATAAAATAAATCATCGTAGTACGAGCCAGTAATAGGTATGTCTGACAGTTACCCATATAATACATTATACTTATACATCATAGGTAGCCTAGTATAGAAATCGTGTATATACCTTTTTTTTTATAGAAATACAATAATGACGATGCCAACATTTATAATACCTAACTTTATATAACTTAAATTGACTAATAAACTTCCAATGAGTAACTTACATATATCAATTAAGTAAAATACGTAAAGTTGCGCCTTTTTTTTCTTTGTGCTATACAGGTAATTTGAGGCCTTTTGAACGCTTCCACCAAGTTTCTCAATCTATTTCGATCTATTGCATTATCCGTATACATTGACATATGTTGAGACATTTTTCCTCACCCTATATAACTACCACTGGTGAGGTCTTCCGCTTGGTCGGTTTTTAGTTGAGTTTCTGGATAGGACCATACCAAGTTCCTACCTAATACATATATATATCGTTAAAATATTTACTCAAATCTATAAAACGTTAGATGTTCCACGCGTCCAAAGCGCTGACCGCCCTGTGGCGGTTGACCGGGTTAGGGACGTTCTCGTTGACCGGCTGTCCGCCGCCGCCGTCGTCCCGTCTATCGGTCGTGTACGCAGTGACCGTTTATTCGGCGTACGCGTACCTGTGCTCGGTACTGACGTCCGAACGGCTGAACGCGTACAGGCAACACGAGAGCGGCACGTTTCAGATCCACGTGATCCGGGACACGAACATGGGTCTTCTGTTCGTCGCGTCCACGGCGGTTTACTGGAGCGCGGCCGCGTACCGCCGGCAACACGTGCGCGTGTACGCCGAGCATGCGGCGGTGGTGCACCAGCTGTTCGGCTCCACGGTTCCGGCCGGCCGCCGTGCAGTGGACGCGTGCTATTGGGTGCTGTACGCTCTGCTGGCCGCCGCCCTGTCACTGGACGTGCGCCGGTACACGGGCCCTAGGCCCTGGACGTTCGGGGCCGTCTACGTTTGGGGCCATTACGCGCTGCTCACCGGAAACATGCAGTTCGCCATTACCGTTTTTGGACTGTGGCAGTGTTATCGCGAGCTCAACTGTCGGATGCGAGCCGGAAGCGCGGGCCGTCGCCGCGATTTCGGCTTGCACGAGTATGGAACCGCTGACACCACCAAAATCCAGTGTTCGGACGTCCCGCCGCAGAACATGATGTTCATCAGCGGTAAGAACCCGACCGCATGACATCAGAATATGATCATTGATGTATTTTTAAAAAAATTCTTGGGCATATGCCCTTTTCGCACGTAGCTATACTCTATTCGGAATGGGATCGGACCTCGGCAGCCAACTTCTGCGCATGGGCGTGGCTTTGTCCCGTGGCAGCGCCCTACGCTTCGCCGTAGTGGAGACGGCGCGGAGTCTCACCATATGTCTGACCGCTGCCCGACGAAAACTGGTCTCCACCGAAGTACGATCTCATTCCGAATAGAGTATATATGCCTATATGTGACAATAGTATAGTAAAGTCTTAAACGACTAAACCCTAATAAAGTGTTAAAACAATCGCTTTGCTCGAAATGTACATTATATTTTAAATATTAATAACCACAGCATTTGAAAAAAAAACATAGGTACATTATATTGTCAAAACTATATGATAAATAAATAATTTTTAGAAGTCACTGTTGTGAATATGCTAATATTGTAATGCAAACATTTTTTATGTGTTTTATTGGATGTACCCTCAGTATTGGAAAAAGTAAACTTGCTTGCAATGCTGAAATATTGGTCAGATGTGCATTGGTCAATCACACAAATTGTATCCAGGGTCAACAACTTATTTAAATTCCGACTATTCGTTTTCTTCGTTTGTGGATTACTACATTTGATGTTAACACCATATATGTTATCATTGACTATACTCAACGAGGATATTGATATATTGCCTTACATATTAGAATGCACTTTATGGTTCATTATTCATATTCTTCGAGTGGTTTTGATGATCTACCCGTGTGCTTTACTAGGAGAAGAGGTATATACATTAATATTAAAATATCTCTCATTTTAACGTTAATAATTATTTCTGACAACTGACAAGAGCCAATATTATAGCAAGCAATATTTATTTTTTTTATGTGAAGGCTGCTAAGACACAAATATTGCTTGGAAGTTATCTCAATACTAAAATCGATTTATTTGATATAAAAAAGGTAAGAATTATGTAAAAATTGTATAGATTACATTATTATATTGTTTTATATTATAGCTTAATAATATTTAAAAAGATTGATGGAAAATGGAAATAATATGATCTACACGTCTACGCGTACCTAGCTATAATAAACTTTATTAAAAATAATAATTTTTATAATATATATATAGCATATTGCAAATAATAAAATAAATGTTATAATATAATAAAGTTTTATTACAAAATCTAAATATTAAAGTATTAAACCTTTAAAATAATTATTTTATGTATCGCAAAATAATTTGTTATACCTACTAACGTTATAATATTATGTTAAAATAAACGAAAAATGACAGTATATGATAATATTATCAGGCCATAACCCATAAGGTAACCAATAATTAATGTTTTTTCGATGAGTAAATAGTTTGTACGTGATAGTGTTACTGTATAGGTGCCTATAATTTATAGTATCTTACTGTTGTATAGAAACTTACTAGGTACTTCTAATTATTACTTTCATCATAATATAAATTTATAAATCTATAAACCTATGTTTTTTAAATTAAAATTAATTTTACACATTTCAAGAAATTTTAAGAATGAACAATTCGTTTTTAAAAAATTTACAAAAATCTTATTAGTAAAATATTTTAGTGATAAACTAGGTCTGATGATTGCTCTAGGATAAAAAAAAATATAGTTAAATATTAATAAATTGAGCATGAAAAAGGACGATGCTCGCTGGTAAGGGGATTGGAAGCGGCGATTTCTGTCTTTGTCTAACACACGTGCAACATAGGATGCAGACGTGTTCTATTTCCAACCTACTGATTAATCTAGTGAAGCGATAAGAATTCTGAAAACAGATTTGAATTTGTCGTAAAGTCTACTTGAGATCGACTTTCCCACATTTTTGATATTATCCCCTAAAAATCCTAAAAACGATATAGGTATTCAAAAGAGTAATTAAAAAAATGACATATTTCATTTTTTGGAGGAGTTTAAATCAAAATATCAAAAATGTGGGAAAGTCGATCTCAAGTAGACTTGACGACAAATTTAAATCTATTTTCAGAATTCTTATCGCTTCACTAGATTAACCGGTACGTTGGAAATAGAATACGTCTATAATCCTATGTTGCACGTATGTTAGACAAAGACAGAAAATCTCCTCTTCTTTATAGAATATAGTTATTATAGATTAAGGATAGAATAGTATATTTAGAGGTTTGGTCTTTGACCTAGTGAGCGATTATATCATTGTGATTTTTGTTTATTTGTACATAGTTCAGACTACAGAATTTAATATTGGTACAATAAATATTTACTATGTGGTATTTAAAAATTAAAATTTACTAAAATTTATTTTGAAGGTTAATATTAGAATAATAATGTCACACAATATAAAAATAACTGTCGTAATATATATACTTAATATCATTTTTAACGACCTATTCACAAATTACTATAAGAAAATCAAAAAATTTACCTACTATAATAGCTATACCTAATGTAAAAGATTATTTTAGATAATATATACTTACATGTGATATCTGATAACTATTTTGCATACATATTATGTCATTATTATGCCACAAACCTAATTTAGATTATATAATCTATAACAAAATAAACGTAATATTATTACTAAAATTACGTGTGCGTACCTACATTTTAATATTTTATTGAAATTATAATATTATTTTATTGAAATTATAATATTATTTTTACGTAATACGTACAAGTTACAAATTTTTACAAAGCGTTTAGGTAACTTTTAATATTTTTAATATTTTAATACAGAAATTAATATACTTTTTTGCAGATAGAAACTTACGCACAACATTTAGCCGCCAACACACCAGAATTCAGTATTTACAGTATGTTTATTATAGATAAACAATTAGTTATTACAGTAAGTATCTATATTATATATTATAATATGTAGAATGTAGATATATAAAAAGTTGCGTAATTTGTTTAATTTACAAAAATTTATTTTGTTCTTTGTTTTTTCAGTAGTTATCACATATTATTATTTTTATTTATCAATATGATGAATGATGATATAAAGTTCTGCATGGTTTTTGGGGGAGCTATGAATGTTTTTGAAGGGGCTTAGCCCCTCCAGCTCCCCCCTAATTGCGCCTATGTAAATAACGTTCGTATGGCCATATTGGTAATCACACATATCTCAGTATCTCACAACTCATAAGAAACCCTAAAATATCTCTAAAATGTGGGGCCTGGCCGCCTGGGTCCTATTGGATCTCTGGGATTCATAATAAATATGTGTCTGAATATAATGTATAATAATTATATCGTGAATGAAGTAAAAATTAATTCTTCTTAACCATCTAATTTCAAATAAACGTATACATATTTAAATAATTAGCTTGGTATACAAAAACAATTCATAAATGTCAAAAGCATTAGTCACGTTAAAATTCCAAAATTCTAAATAGTAAATAGTCAATGCGGTTGTGTTCGTTGGTGATCAAAGTATCAAACAAGTCACAAGATAAGGAAGTATAGAATACAGATTACAACCACCGTGGAATTATATAATTCATTGTTCTCTACAACTATCAATTGAGTTAATAATATTTTGTTTTAATTTATATTGTATAGTTAATAGGACGTGTACCCGTGTACCCGTGTGTGTATGTTGAGGATGGGTCTATATTTTTGTATAATTATTGTACACTGAAAACGAGCTACGATTAAATGCACGCTGGCTGCTGGTTGCGCTACAGCATTTTTTCGGGAGGGGAAGGTCAAGATAAAAATATTATTACAATATATATATATTTATTTGTAAAAATCGTAAATATTATCCAAGGCCTCGGAGAAAATGCCAGGGGTGTTACATCCCCTTTCCACCCCTTCCTACTTCGCACTGCATGCACCACTGCTGGCTGCTACCATATAATATTATTAGTGAGCATATTATCTTCATCGTAGATAAATACTTTCGGCGACAAGAAATAAATATAATATCCTTGGACGCAATTTACGTAGTATCTATACCTATTCGATATATAATATATATTTTACTGTGATATTTTTTTGGGGGCCTAATTTAGTATTTACCGACTCCAGTTGAGGATTTATTGATTCCGCCCAAACTACCTGCAGCTTAGGAAAAAGTTTTATATTGATTCCACCGGCTTCTGTTTATAATATCTAAATATTTGTTCCACCGGATACTATTAATATTTAAGTTCCTATTGATTCCACAGTATAATATACAACAAAACTTAAAAATTAAAATGATACAAAATAGTAAAAATTAATATTTTTTTTTTTAAATGTAATTCACTGAATACTGGTCACGAGGGTGAATGTAAGTTCCTACTTATATACGTTAAAATATAGTCAAACCATTCAAAGATAAGTTAAATAAACTAATGTCTTGAAAAAAATATAATAGATTTCATAAATAAATAATTGTAGAAAACAAAAATATTTTATATTTTATATGGTTTATTTAATGTAATCGTATTTATTTTGTTTTTTGACGAGCGTCTCGGGGGAAAAATTGCGCGTCCAATCAGAATCGTTCAAATTTGTTATCACTGTTTGTGAAAATCACACATTGTGATCATAGCTAATAAAATATAATGTCACAATGTCAGGCGCTCATACAATTATTATATTTAAAAAAATAGAAGCACATTTTTACAGCTAATCATAAAGCATAAGTGTTACTGGGTAAGTGCTGTGCTATAAAAAAATTCGTTTTATATAATATTGTCAACCTAAAGTAATATTAATTTAGTAAATGAAAAATATAAATAATTGTTGCGAAACTGGTATTAAACAAATAAATTTACAAAAAGATATTCTGTCTTCAATCTCATTTTAGTACTCAACAAATCATATTGTTGTTTGGGTTTATGATTTTATAAATATTAAAAATTAAATAAATAATCATTATTGGTATAATAACTATTAAATAATAAATATAATCAAAGGGTTAACCACAACATATTAAACATTTTATGTTTTATATTTTCAATGTAAATAAATATAACATATTAAC